ATGTCTTTCACCAAGTTCTGACAGAGTTCTTTTTGAATTTTCTTTCAACCCAACTGCAAAGTCAGAGTGATCCACTCATAGGGATCCGCAACCCACATTACAAAAGGTTCTTTAGCATTTTCCATGCAATTAGATGATTATTATGTTGACAAAATAACAAATGCATTCAAAAGAATTCATTAAGAGTTGTGGTTGTAGTTTGATGCCATCATTTGTCCACAAATTGTTTTTTATCTAGTAATAAAAAGAAGAGAACTGCGAACGCCACAACTGTTAACATCTGACAGTTTGTTGCTTAGCCTGATATCTTCTTCTATTAAGTCAATGGCTTATTTTGCCTGATGTACAAGAGGTGAGACATGTTTTTGCTCAGGTGTTTTCCCTGAGACCTGAAGGTGATTCGTCTGGTGTTTGGAACCGGATGGCATATAATGCAAACTATCATATAATAGAGGCTGCATAGGCTAATCAACTAGAAATCGTTTTTTCTGCTAAACACAATGACCTAAGTACTTTATCACTGTGGAAATACTACATGAAATGAAACCAGTTGCAACTGAAAGCTGTATCAGACTACGCTCAAATACAGGCTTGTAAGCCAGACCAGGTAGATTTTGAGAACCTCAATAGGAAAGGGCTGTCTGACAGACATCCAAAACAATTACAGACTGTGCAGCTTGATGTGCGTGATAAACATGGAGTGCTGGTTGGCAAATGCACAAGGATATTTTGTTTACTTGCTACCAAAGAGCTCAAACACAATTTAGGAATAACTTGTGAAACAGTATATCAGGAATGATTGCTGATTCAGCCACTAGGCCTATACCTCACTTTGAAAGGCTTACTGTTGAGTAGATGCAACAGCTTGCTACTAGCATTTATCTTGAAACAGTCGTTTGTTTTGCCATCGGACAGTGCATGGACCAGAGCCAGTTTAAGTTCTCTGTGAGAGGTAAGTTTCTGGGAGCTATGGTGATTTTAGCGTGCATTATACATCAGACAGTCTAAGTACTTCTGTGGTAACTTAACTGTCACAGGGCACAAGCCTAGCTTCAACAAAAATATTTTACAAAAGTGGACAAGGCATTTTAGGCTTTCTCCAAAGAGAAACCAGTAGAATCGAAAGAAGATGAAAACACTGCTATTCAGTAGGAAAATGCATGGACAGGAATAAAAATCCCATAACTGTTGGTGTTATTTAACGACTGTTATTTATTTTTTCAAACTATCTGGGATCTTACTAAGAAAAAAAAACAGGATGAAAAGACTACATGCATGTTAAAGGAGCTAGAGAGAAGATTTTTATGTTTCAAATCCATGTAGTAATTATTATAAAACTCGCATCAATCAATCAATCATTCTAAATGCTAAACGAAAGTCATTCATCAACATATGCCTTTGAAGTCCTACTCATTCCCAGCAAAAGGCTGCATTGGGCAAATGAAGTTACAGTTGTGTTCTGCATGATTAAAAGGAGCTAAATGCTAAAAAGTGGGAAGTGCTTAACAAAACTGTCATTTTCACACAAACTAAAAGCATACAAACAATCTTATTCCTATTATTTTGACTTTTGGTTTGTACAATATTACATCAGACTTTCTTCACCTGTTTAAAAAAAATGTTCACTTCTCTGGAGTGTGAGATCCTCAACATCAATCTCAGCATAAGGCAGGGAGGCAGGCGATATTAGTTTGGCAATACTCTGACTGGCTCTTGGGGAGTCTGGCTGTCAATAGCAACATTCAGTTTCAGTGACTCAGCAATAAAAACAACTTTGGGCTTGCTCCAAACAGCAATAGGGCTGCTCACTCCAGTGGTACTTATTTATTATTGATACCTGCTGGTTTTGATTGGCAAACCAGAGGCCTGCAATCAATAAGGAGCTAAATCAGATTACTGATTCTTTTAAATCCTGTTCAAAGTAAATTACCCACTAGAAAGATAATGGACAGCACCCCTGGAAAAGACACTAGCCTTTTACACCACCTGAAATCTATACAACTGTTATAAACTGTGTGTTCTCAGAATAAATACTGCAGTTCTATGAACATTAATGAGACAGTAGATAAAAGTAAGAGAACATTAAAAACCCATTATTGTATTGCACCCAAGAATTCCAACAAAACAGACAAACAAAAGCTATATATATGAAAAAAAGACACTTAAGAAAAACAATACTTCAGCATTATTTAAACAGAAGAACTTTGACTATGACAAAAATATTCCAAATTTAATCCATTTTTTTAAATGATTTTAAATGATTATACATATAAGCATCTAATAACATTTAAAGAGATACTTGAGAATTTGTGAACAGCCTGTCAGTATTCACTAGATAAGTTTTTTAAAATAAACATTATATTGACATAAGCCCTTATATTAAAGTAACTGACAATGGTCTATAACATTATTATGAAGCATCTTTTCTAAGTAATGGAAGGAAGACGCCAAGTTAAGAACACCATAATAGTTCTAAGAAAGATGATGCCCTCACACTAAAGTCATAACAGTCATTACAGGATATGTACACATTATACATAACTTACACATATTTTCTTGTATTACTTTAGTTTGAGGGCATCATTTCTAACAAATATTGTGACTGAAACATGATTATTTTCTGTAAATTAAGCCCCAGGCTCCAACTATTAATGTAGCCTTAACTATGTTTCCATTACTTGGCAATAATGCTTCATAAATTAAACAAATGTCCATCACTTAAGTATAAAAGTGCTTGTCAATACAATGTAATTTACTTCATAAAATATTGTTATAATGTTATTTAACCTTTATGCTTTGCTTTTAAACCATTATGTACCCAACCTTTAAACAAAGCTTTACCCTGTTTTTAAACAGATCATTTAAAATTTTCCAGCTGCATACGATGAAATGACCTGTGACCTCCAAATCAAGCAAGGGACATCAAGCAAAAAGTCTCAAGCATATCCAGTGATAATCAAATACTGCACATAACCGCCTACAAAGGTCTGACTTACATTTAAATTAACCTGCAGCCAGTGCTGAAGTCATTCCAGCAATCGCTTTCATCCATTATGTTATGCATTACTACAGGGGTCCAGCTTTAAAGAGATATGTCAATGGCAGGCTTTTACACACCTTATCAATCATCTGAGAACCAATGATGAATGAAGAAGCAATGAACGTCAGTCTTTGCCATCAATATTCTGAAGTTCTCAGAGTCAAAACACCCACGCTCCTTTGCATACCTTTGTGTATCTGCCCACTCAACCAGAGGATTATTACATTATATGTTCTCTTTATAGAATTAAAAAAAAATAAAAAGTCAAGGGGAAATAAAAATCTACAATAACAAATAAATAAGTAGAATTAGTGTCATATTGTGAAACAAGAACCAAAAAGTCTGTAAATAAGTTCCTATCTCAGTGCAATGCATCAAATTACACATTGTATACCCATATACTCCACATACAGGTGCCAAAAAGACACTGTCACTGTCAAAATTAAATAAACAAACAAATAAATAAATTTCTACATTTTCTTCGATTTTTCTACACTATTTGAAAACAGCAGCTGTCCTTTACAATGAGTGAACATTTTATGACGTCTGGGCCAACAGAAATTCTCCAAAACACTTGGAATATAACATCTTAACACCAATTTATATTAAGAATAAGGAGCATTTTTGTATTTTCCTGTACAGGTACTATTTTACAGATACTAGTGTTTTTGTTTTTTTTGGGATACGCAATATTGACTGCAAAGAAGAAGAAGAGACAAACACAGACACAATGGTTGTAATATGGTTTTCTGTGCATTCTGCTGTTGCACTAGTCTGATAGAGAGCCTGTTGTGGTATAATCTCCAGAAATCCAATATAATCTGGCCAAACCTAATTTAATCCCATGTACTCATTAGCACCCCATCCACTGAAGTAGTCCAAATTTATACACCAGCACAAGATGCTGATGCAATAGCCAATTCTACCACCAAAGTCTGACTGAAATACAGTGAGGACAGAGAAAAAAACTGCAATAGTTACTTCACCTTTCATAAAGAGGTTCTGACCACTTTACTGACCAGCACAGCAAGCATCAGCTTCAACCAATTTCTTCTTCTTCTTGTTCACTTCACATGAAGCAACAGTCAATGAAACCAATTCTTTCACAGTTTTCCAGTTCCTTGAGAGGTGAAAGCTGCGCCAAGGTCAACTTGCCCACTACACGATCATTGATTTATTTTAGCAATTATGCACCAAGCCTGTAAATCTTTGAAATGTGCTATACTGTTCAAACACTGGAACCAACATTTACAGTATATCACAGAGTAAAGGCTAAAGGCCAGGACCATAACCAGTGACAAAATGTTTGAAGGACTCTAGCACTGTATCCACAAACATGTCTGAATACACTGCAGTCATATCAGTTCATATTAGTTTAGATTTGGCAAAGGATGAGTCAAACCTGTTTACCTCATTATAATAATTTAATCATTGACATTAATTGACCTAATTAAAGAGATTAGGATAGAGGGGCTTGGTAATGAAGGTCAAAATCATGTTTGAGACTGCCTGCAGGCTCTGAACTGTATGCTGCACTGTATCAACCTAAGATAAGCAAATATATAAGCTCAAGGAGAAGCATAATGTCACTGTCATCAAAACCAGCTCTTTTAAATTGTTTAAACCTTTCACGATAAATAGACCAATAGAAATGACGAATTATAACAACATACTTTAAGGGTTTTTCTTTCTCCTATAAAAGTACCATCTTGGAGATTTGTTACAACAGTGAATATTTTAAATTAGGTTAACAATCAGTTCTTGAACATACTGTAGATGAGCTACTGTGCATATTGCTTAATAAGGTAAGTTGCTTGTTCAAGCCAAATCACTACTTTTCAATACATTTCACAATATTTGCTCATGGCAAACCAGCATCAGCACTTCAAAAGCATGACAACTTGAAGTGCGCAGTACAAACTTGCACTAGTGCTAGTGAGGGAACCGCTCCAAACTTTACCTGCATTAAGGGTGCCGGTGATGAGTCTGAAGAGGTACTGGGCAAACTTCAGGAATTCTCTCTTGCATCTCTTCCTGCAGCTCATTTCTGAGAGTTGTCACTTGCTGGAGACTCTTCCTGCCTTGGGATCCTCTGAGGGCTGCGCGTTAAAAGATAACTTCCCTTCCTGAAACTGCGATCGGCAGCTGTGTATGAGTGTGTGAGGTGACGTGGTCATACGGCGCTGCAGGATGAGGCTGCCGGCTCACGAGGATCAGCTCATAAAAATATTTCCCCAAGATGCTGAGTTTTCCTCTCTCTCTTAGCTATACCTATCTGTAAGCCTTCAAGCAGCGCGTGGCTCCTCAGCTCTCTCTCCGTCACACGCTTTCACACACTGTGCTCTCATGCGCACACATATACACACACACACACACACACACACTTTGGTAGTAGTCTGGCTGCTCGTGTGGCTCAGCACCATCTGTGGAGCTTTAACCCTCCCCCTGACCACTGCTGGAGAGGCGGGACCAGAGAGCGAGGGGGGTGGGGGGGGCAGGGAAGAGCAGTGGGGAAAGAGTGGCAGCAGTGAAAGTGTCTAAGCTCATGAATCAGCAGTGACAGGTGATTGTTGAGCCATCGTTACACAACACCTATACTGCACCACACAGTGAGGGAAGAGAGAGAGAGCAAGAGAAGGCAAAGAGAGGAAAAAGAGAAAGAAAGAGAGAATGAAAGAGAGGTAAAGAGGCAAAGAATAGAAGAAAGGAGCAAAGAGAGAAAGAGAAGAAGACAGACAATGAAAGAGGGCCAAAGCAAACGGAAGAGAGGGAAAGAGAACAGGAGAGAAAGACAGAGAAAAAAATAGGATAGGGAAAAAAAGGCAGTGAGAGTGAGGAAAAAAAAACCCAGGAGGGAAACAGAGAAAGAGAACTAGACAAAGTAGGAGAGAAAGCAGAGAGAAGGGAGAGGGAGAAAGAGAAAGGGAGAGAGTACAACGAGAAAGAAAGAGAGGGGGACAAAGATAAGGGAGGAAAAAGTAGAAAGAAAGGAGAGAGAAAAAAAGGGAGATAAGTGAGTGAGAAAAAAGTAAGAGAGAAAAGAGAATGAATTCAGAGAGAAAGAAAGAAATCGCAAGGTGAAAAAGAGAAGAATGACGAGTAAGAATCACTAAAAGTTAGTAACAGATATAGGAGAAAGTCAAAAAGTGTGAGTGAATTGAGACTCATTTTCATATTGTAGGTATTTTATATCATCTTTAAATATTAACATCAAAAAGCACAGCCTGTGACATCATGAACTTAGGAGCACATCAACTTAAGCACTAATTACCACCACTTCAATTATCATCAGTCAACGTCAAGCCCTTCTCTCCATGAGTGCTGTCATTAACTTCAATTACGTCAATCCCGCAGACACTTCTATCTGATCCCTGATCAGTCACGACACAAAGACTCAACCTTCCCCACTGATTATTCCTTTAATGTGTTCATACTCTTCTATTCTAACTACAGTGGAAGGCCCCATTTTTTTGCAGAGCGTCTATACAGAAGAAGCGTTCAGCTATGAAATGAGCTGGTTTGTATTCCATGTGAAATGAAGGTTGAATTCCATAGGTCATTCCTGCTGGAGAAAGGCCTATTTCAGGAGTACTCAAAAAGGAGAGCTTTTTTCCATGAGTGACACTCACTGAGGATTTAGACCCCTGCCTCTGTTCTGCTGTGCGTCATCTGAGAACGCTGTTTCCGCAAAGAGGTGTGTTCTTTTCCATACATGGACCTGCCCTACAGACTAAAGCACAGTCTGTTTAATGCTAAGGCCAGATGAAAAGTTTACACTTTCACAGGTGTATGTTTGACATAACCTTCCAAGTGTCTGCTTTTTGTAATTGAAAAAATACAAAAAAACAGCAGCCAAAAGAAAGTCATTCATTTCCGTATTCCTGTGCTATCACAGAACACTCTGTCCTGCAGTCTTTGGACCAGCATGGTGACACAGAAGGTAAAAATTGTGAAACACCAATTCAGTACAAGGAGGAGCAGGGCACAACCTAGCGTGGTGTAAAATGGATATTTTATGTACTTGAACAGGATCAAGCAGAATGTTCTTCACACATTCCCACAGCAACATCATCTGCAACATTTGACAGCAGTTGGACAGATATTTCTATATCATTTTAATCACTTGGCAGCTGTATTAATGTTTTGAAGCAAATAAACTCACAGTAAGATCTAGCCAGGACAAAAGTACAGCCTCCTCATGGTGAGGTTAGATGTAACATTAGAACTAAGAACTAAGCCTCCCAGAGTAAACCAACAGTCTTTTTTTTGGAAATTTATTATAAACATACTACAGAGGCCATGTAAATAATTTTAATCATGCAAGTATTTGCCATGTTAGATGTTTGACACAGCCTCTTTTCCAGTCTTATTAAAAAAAAAAAAATTATTAACTTACACAAAATTAGAATAATATTGATAAGACAAATACAACAGAAGCCAATTTACTTTCTCTAGAGGAAACTGACACAGCAGACTGAAGATAAACTCATAAAACAATGATGAGGAGAGCACTTGAGAGACTGCTTCATTAAATTAAGTAAATTTAGTTGGGCAGTTTGTGTGGTCATTAAGGGCCGTTTATCACTCACTGCACCGGGTTGGCACTACTCAATATTTGGCCACACAAGAATGTTTACAGAGATGTCAAGCATGGAATTTGTGTGCAGTTGATTCTCATAGTGACAGAACGTTTGCAAGTAGGGATTCACTGAGATAAAATTTTGCTGTGGCTGATAATTTCACTTTTGCTGCATTTTAAAACAATCATACTATAATTCATATGTATGGCGGTGAGTATAATGCTAATTGCCTCATTTTCCTTAGTATATACAGGTCAAAGGAAAAATGAGTTTCACTAATCATTCATGGTATCTCAGCTGAACATTTTGTGTAAACTACAAGTCCTCTGCTGAAACCAAAAAAACAAAAAATCAGACCAATAATTTAATTTGTTAATTTAACTACAAATTTACAAATGTTACAAGGGAATAAAACCTCTCAGACTACAAAGGTCACATTGGGCTGAGCTGTGCATTTGCACTGAGGAGCTCCACACTGAATAGCTCTGAAGTCACTGAGCAGGAGAGTCAGGTCACTGGAAGAGTCAAACCTCTGAGACGTAAATAAGAATAAGGGAACATGATCTAATCGGACATGCTTTCTAAACAGAAACCAATGATCAATAAAGGTCATGCCATAGAATAAGCTTTTAAAAGTCCAACTCCAGCCAATAACAGCCAAAGGACAGCATAAAAAAAATTACAACCCTAACAGAATGTGCTGCAGCCAGTGGGAACAGCTGCTTTATCTGAATTGGACCTGCTGCCTTTTGTCCTCAGAGTTTCAGCTGCAATCCCTCAGCGTTGACCCAGCAGTCAGGAGACTGCATTCATACATCACCCTAACGGCTCCCTCACTTTGCAGTGCGACATACGTACAACATGATGTATGCGACACACAACAGAATTCCAGAGCCTTATACAGTAAGACCCAAATAAGATGAGTAAAAAAGCTGCAAAAGCCAATTCTCCAAAACAGAAAAAAAGGCAGGGCAATTACTGAATCTTTCCCATTATAGCAATTTATTGGTCCGTAAGAGATCTTCTAGTTTCAAGATCGAACAGACTACAATACTTCTATTTATATTATGTATGTGGTGGTACTGATTTATTTATTTCCAAAAAGCCACAGGTATGCAACCTCATCTGCAAAGGGCCAGTGCTGAGGCACGTTTTCATTCCAAACAAGCAGGAGCACATCTAATTCCACTTGTTCATCAGGTAGTCTCGGTCTTCGACAACTGATCAGATATGCCACTGGTTGGAACGAAAATCTGCAGCCACACCAGCCCTCTACAGATAAGACTAGATACACCTGCACCAAATGTTTACACACATAGCAACAATAATGACAACACTTTTATCACAATTTTGCGAGTGTGGCCCCTTAGCCTTGTGCCCATATGTTTGAGAAACAGAGACATGACACTACAATGTTTTCACAAAGTTAAGAGCAGTTAAGAAGTTAAGAGTTTTCAAATAGCGTAAAAAAAATATATATATAAACAAATAATAATTTGAACGAGGTGTGGACATGACAGTGACAATATACACCAATGAGCCAAAACATTATTACCACTCACAGATGAAGCAAATAACGCTGATTACTTTGTAACAATGATGTGTGTGTCAAGGTCTGGGAAACATCAGGCACAGACGAACAGTGTGTTCTCATCAGTCAACATGTTGGATGCGGGAGAAATGGGCAGAACACGACTTTGACAAGGGCCTAATCAGTTGGGTGCCCAAGGCTCATCAATGCACAAGGGAAAAAAGAATATCTGGAGGGACGTGTCACAAGTTTGCATGGGGCTGTGTAGCCGTAGACTTGTCAGACGACAAGCTGGCAGACACCCCTGCATGCCAGTTGTATTCCCTAATGGCAGTGGGCTCTTTCAGCAGGATAATCCGCTCTGCCACATTGCACACGTTGTTTGGGAATAGTTTGAGGAACATAACGAAGAGTTCAAGGTGTTGACTTGGCCTCCAAATTCCCTAGATCTCAATCCAATCAAGCATCTGTGGGATGCGCTGGAACAAATCCAATCCACAGTGTCTCCATCTCACAACTTACTGGACTAGAAAGATCTTCTGTTAACATCTTGGTGCCAGATACTAGACTGCATATATGCCCTATATCATACCAATTAGACAAAATATGCTTAGCGCATAACACCAGTGCAACTGTCCAGTCACTGATTCACAGTTCATGACACCATATTGTAGTCTTTTTCAGAATGGGGCACTGGGCCAATAGTGACTAGAATTGTTCTCCTGTCTGGCTTTGAGTGCAGTGTTATTGCTGTGCTCTACTGCATGGCCTGGCTTTTATTCTGCTCAGCCACAGAGGAAACAAGAGGCAGCAGGGCACCCTGGATGAGCCTCCTGCTGAAATATTAAAGCCATATCCTCAGCCCTAGAGCCACATACCCTGACCCAACTGGCCTCTGGCACAGCAAGAGCATGATAACTACACAGAGAGAGAGAGAGAGAGAGAGAGAGAGACCCAGAGATAAAGAGAAATGCATAGTAAGAGCCAGATAGCAAGAAGACAAGGGTGGGGGGTGGACCAAGTATGGGAAAAGATTACAGTGCTCAAAGAATTATTCACATAGATTTTTGGCACTTCAGCTTTAAACTACATTAGAAAACTCTGCCAGGGGTAGAAAAGGTGTTCTCTGAAATGGTAACTAAACAAAAATCAATAAAAAAAAATCTAAATAAAATATTGACTTGACATTAAAAAAGGGCTGGAGACAATAACTGAAGGAGCTGAGTCGCTGCCTTTAATGGTGTATTATTACATTTGTCTTTTTGTTTTGTCAGTGAACAACAAAACCTTTAACAGT